CTAGCCAATCAGCAGTGCACACTTCAACTAACTTCAAGTCACTGTAATTATTAATAATTTTAGTAATAGCTATGTTTCTAGTTAGCTCTCCAGGCTTTTTTCAAAGCTAAAGTAAAATACATTGAGAATAGTTAATTTCACATCTCACTTGCAAACAAGTGGAAATTTTGTATGGAAACAGAATTACTGCTTAAACTCAATTTTTGAGGTCCCTTTGTTTGAGTTATTTTAGGTACACAAAAATTGATCTTTAGTCAAATTCACAATCCCAATAGGTCTGTGAATGGTACTCATTTATTTATATGCTTTTTCACTTAGTATTTTAATAATAAATCCTATGATATCACTAATCCAATCTGAAACCTAGAACTTTATGAGTAACCTACACATACCTGCCCTTCCAAATTCCATCTTCTTACCTCACTCTTAGAAACAATCTTCCTGAGTTTTACATTTATCATCTCCTTTTTAATTTTATTGGGTATATGCCTACATTTTAGCAATATAATATTTGTTTATGGTTGGACTTACACATTTATAAAAGCTGTGAGTCTATATAGAGTATCTTTTAGGACTTTAATTTTTTATCCCATGTTATATTATTAATATTTATGTCAATATACTATCATTTACCCACTCTTCTGTTGATAGGAGTTGAGTTATTTCTACTTTTGCTGCTGTAATAAATGATGATGTGAATATTTGTGGCTAGCCCCTGATTTATAGTTGCTAACATTTCTCTTAGGAATATATCTAGAACTTCAATTGCTAGGTATAAGTCAATGTGAATATCCAACTTTAAAAATCATGCTGTTATTTCCTAAAGTAATTGTACCAATTTATAATTCCGTCACCAACATACAGATGATACTGTTTTTCCTCATATTCAAAATTTACCAATGTCAAACTTCGCGATCACTCTTCAATGATTGGTATAAAGTATTACTTCACTCCTTGATTTGAATTTCCTTAATCATCAATGAGGTCAAGTAACTCATCTTATTAGACTCATTTATTTTCTTATCTATAAAATTACTGTCTTTTGTGAATTTTCCTGTTACATTATTTACATTTCTGTTTTGTTTATAGTTTTTATTAGTACATATTTGAAGTAAATAATGATCACCTTCCTTGTGGGGAGCTGACACATATACATAATAATCTAAATTATTTTTTTATTCCTTTCCTCTTCACTCGCTCTCTATTCCCCCACCTCTCGATCCCCTTCCATTTTGGAAAGATCTATTGCCCTAATTCCTATTATCTATCTTTTTACTCTTTATTTATATTTTGGTTTTCTCATAAAAGGGAAACTGCAATATTTAAGCTTGTATGTATGATTTATTTCACTTCAAATTATGGTTTCAGGGTACAAGTTTCCAACAAATGACTCAAGTTTATCCTTCTTTATGCCAGAGTACTACTCCACTGTGTGTAAATACCACATTTTCTTTATCTATTTATCTGTTAATGGGCATATAGGCTCCTTCCAGAATATAACTATTATGATCTTGATACTGTGCTACAAATATCTTCTCAGAGTTTGTATCTTGCACTTTCACTTTCAGTAAGCAATACTCTCATTAATAGAAATTTGTAATTAAATGCAATTAATTTTATCAGACTTAGGTTTTTCTGGTTGTGCTTTGTGTTATGTTTAAGAAACAGCTTGCTACTTTATGATGAAAAAGAAGTCCACTGATTTTTTTTTTATCAAAAGGATTTAGTGATGCTTTTGATATTCAACTTATTCTTCTGGAGTTATTTTTATGTATAATATAACAGATAGAAATTGACATTGAATAAACAATGTTTCCTGTTTCATTTACTTAACAGTTTCTCCTTATCTTGGTGATCTCTATTCCATCTCTTTCACATACCAAAATTCCATATATGTATAAGATTTTTTCAGAGCCCTGTATTCTGTTCCATTGGTCTATTTCTCCATCCTTAACAAATAAGACACTTTGTTTTAGTAGAGCCCAAAAAAACAGTATAACTCTTGATATTTGGTAGTTTACAGTCTATAAGTTTGTTCTTCTTCAAGATTTTTTCTTAACTAATTAGGGGATTTGTATTTACATATAAATTTTAGAAACAGCTTATCAATTTCCATTCTAAAAAAAATCTAAGATGTATTTATAATACTACATCTTCTAGACCATGAACATATTATATCCCATTTAAATTCTTTCCCAAATGTATAGTTTCTGCTTAGAAGACCTGATCATGATTCAATTAACTGCTAATTCATGATCTATTTTGATAATACTATAAAGATCAGTAAGATTGATAAAATTTGAGCAAGATTAACAGGAAATAAGTTAGCAAACATATAAATACAATTACTAGAAATTAAAGGACATATTAATACAGGACTTACAGACATTAAAAGTATAACAAAGCTATACCATAAACAACTCTATGTACCTTAATTCAATAGCTTAGATAAACCAATCCCTTAAAAAAATCAAAACAAACTATCAAAATTCATTCAAAATGAAGATAGAAAAATAGTCCTCTTAAAGAAAGTGAATTTATAACTTAAAAACTTTCCAAAAATAATATCTCCAGGCACATAAAGATTCACTGGAAAATTCTACCCAACATTTTAAGAAGAAGTAATACCAATTCTATACAACCTCCTCTTAGAAACAGTGGAAGAAGGAACATTTCCCAAATTATTTCATAAGGCCAGCATTACCTTGATAGCAAAACCAGACAATAGTACAAGAACAGAAAATTACAAACCAATGTTGCTCATAAATATAAATGTAAAAGTCTTCCATAAAGTATTAATAGATTGAATCAGGCACTATGTAAAAATAATAATACTGTATAATCAAATGAGTTTTACACCAAGAATGCAATTTGGGATGGATATTCACAATCGTCCAATGCATCCAACATATCAAACAGTTTAAACAAGAAAAATCACATTACTACAAGCATGGATGCAGAAAAATTACTTGACAAAATTTGTTATCAACATATACTTTTAAAAATTCAGTGTATTGGCCAGCTTTCTTACTGTTGAGACGCAATACCTAACACCCACAACTTAAACAGTTTTAATCTGGTTCATGGTTCTTCAGTAAGTGAATCTATGGTCAGCTGGCTTCAAGGCAGAAACATCATGGTGAAAGGGCATGGAAGAGGAAAGCTTCTCACCTCACGACAGTCAGGAAGCAGAGAAAGTGAAGGGAGGAGCCCCCAGTGACCAAATTCTTCCAATCAGGCTCCACCTCCTAACAGCACATTTGCCTATGAACTCACTGGGGATTAGCCCACTGTGGGTTAACCACAGCAGGTTATGAACTCACTGGGGATTAACACACTATACTCATCAGTGGATTAGCCTCCATGAGCCAATCACCTTCCAAATGCCCCACCTCTGAACACATGAAACTTTTTGGGACAGTTTATATCTCAACCATAATACTTACCAAACAAGGAATAAAAGGTAATTTCTTCAACCCAATAAGGGTAATCTACAAAACCTACAGCCAATATTATGCCTAATGGCAGGACAAAATGCTTTCCCTCTAAGATTAAGACTAAAGTAAGAATGCCTTGGTTTACTATTCCTAGCTGTTGCAATCAGGCAAGGAAAATAAATAAATTGTATACCAATTTGAAAGGAAAAAATTAAATTACCTCTTATGACAACATGCCTACCTAAAGAAAACTACAATCTATAAACAAAACTCTTAGGACTAATAAGTAGGCTAAATAAGGCTGCAAAATAGAAAGTCAACATACAAAAACATCAGCCTAAATTCTAAATACTAACAATATATAATTGAAAACTAAAATTTGAAAACAGAATTGTACTTAGGATAAATCCATCCAATAGTTTTGTCAGAAAAGTACTACTGAGGAGTCTCTAAAAGATGCTATTATTTCCATATTCTCAGCAGAATCATTCATCATAGCTAAAAGCTAAAAAAAAAAGTATTCATCAATCGATGAGTAGAGTAACAAATTGTGGCACATGCATGTATACATTGTTATTTTAAGGCTGGCTGTTTTTCAGTCTTAAAAGGAAGAAAATTCTGACACATGATATAATATGGATGAAACCCTCATTATGTTAAGTGAAATAAGTCAGAAGCAGAAACACAAATACTGCACAATTCTACTTATATGAGGTACCTAAAGTAGTCAAATTCATACAAACAAGTAAAACGATGATTACCAAGAACTGGGAGGAGGGGAGGAAAAATAGGTGAGTTGCTATGTAATAGGAATTGAGTTTCAGTTTGGCAAGATGAAAAAATTATAAAACTGATCATGTCCTAATATAAATACACTTACTACTACTGAACTGTACATTTAGTAATGACTCAGGTGGTAAATTTTACATTCTGTGTTTTTAACCACTAAAATAAAATTAAAACTAAATCCTGGTGCAAATTAGTTAAAATAACTAATTCTGTGTGTTTAGCATGATAAAAATCAACTAATCAATCAATCATTCATGGTTCAATCGTTTACCAATTCTTTGGCCTTAGAAAATGGAATCTCATTTTATCTGTATGTAAAATATGAATAATGAAATTACCTACACCATAGGCTTATCATGAGAATTAAATGAGAACTTTATATAAAATATTTGGCATATAGTAAAAGTTCAATTAATGTTACTTTTCATTCTTTAACCTATAAAATACTAATTTCTTCTCATAGAACCCACTCTAAACAAGCCTTTGAGATAACTTTTCTTAATCTCTATTTTCATTAATTTTCTAGCCCTTCATATGTCTTCACCTTGTCTGTTCAAAGAACAGGTAGGCTTCAAAGAGGACCACTGCTTTAATCCACCAATCAATTCCTAACCTTGGGCATTGACCTATGCTGAAGGAAAATTTGCTATACCCTCAGGACATTACACTTGAACCGCCTACTTGTCTTACAACAGAGACCTTTAAATGAGCCACTACTGTAGCACTGCTGTATCTCTAGCATGCGCCCCCCGCCCCGCAGTGTAAGTCACTCACTGAAGTTCCAGTAGACTTGATAGAGGAGGATTCTAGATTTCCCAGGGGAGAATTCTAAGAGGGAATAAGAACAAAAAAGAAAAGGAAGGTGTGAAATTAATAGGTATATGTTGCCAAGCTCAAGGTTGTCCAGGCCAACTATCACTGCCCATTTTTAACAGACCTCCCCTATGACCCAAATTAAGAGATGAATGTCTTACCTCATTCTATCATAGCATCTAGGAAAACCTTTGAGAAAAGTGAAAAACTGGGTGAGGCAATTGAGTTTCATATCAGATGCAACATTTCTTTAGACCACAGCTCCAACAAACTTGTTCTATCCTAACACATTTTTATTTCCCCTGATTAGCACATCCTGCCTCTGCCCCACTTGCAAAAACATGCTTCAAATGCTGTTTGCTCCATGATGTTCCACTGAGAAACAAGGCATACATCATGCATCTAACAACAGCCTCCAGAGCATATACTTGCCTGCATTAGAATCCATCATAGAGGGGAAAAAAAGAAATTTCCATCTTCCACCCCCTCGCGATCAAACTGGGACTTCAGCCTACACAGATCTGTCACTCTAAAAAGACTCCCCAGTCACAGCATCATCTTTGCCAAGGAAGAACAGAGAAAATTGCATCTCAGAGTTAGACAAAGTTAACTTTTCTATTCTAGGCTGTGTTTTAGCAGTGCAGCCTTCTTAGGGCAAATATCTCAAAAGTACAAATTCAGTTTTCACTTGGAGTTAAACCTGACTTGAGAAAGGAGCCTCCTGGGCTAGGTTCACAACAAAGTCTAAAATTATGATGCAAAAGAACCAAACTGTAGAATTGGGGAACCTACAGTGGCATAGTTAAGAAAGCCTGCTTTTACAGGTCCCTTCCTGAACTTGTCACCAGAGATGGAGAGAGATGCTGTTTGAAAAACAATTAAATATGGGGTTTCTATCTTGCCATTTTGCCATCCCAGAATATCAGCACCAATGCTAACTCATACATTCTGCATTCCAATTTTTACCCATTCTTTAAGGCTCAGATCTAATGTCATCTTTTAAGGGAGCTGCTTCAACCCTCAAGTAAGTTGGCCCATATCCTCATTTCCTGTTCCAAACTCTTAGCATGGACTTACAATTCTGTTGTATTCTGCTCAGTCATAGCAGAGCAAATGTAAAATATCTCTTCTCAACCAGATGGCCAAGGCTCAAGAGCAAGGAGTTTGTTTATAGCATCTCTGTTATGCAGGAAATGTTCCACAAGTACTGTACTTGCTGCTCAGCTATAAACACTAAAGTGCTAAGAAAGCTTAGGCAGCCCTGACTTACATGGGGTGAACCATTAAACTACTTCAGTGTTGATATAAAGGCATCTACCAACCATCTGTATGATCCTGAAAATTGTTTGCTGCTATTATATGAATGCTAAATGGCCCAAAATGCCCACTCCCAAATATTTGAGTCAGGAGATGCATGTAATCACAAAGAGACAGGCTTATACAAGGGAGCTCACTGGCAACCTTAAACAAGACCTGTGTTGGAGAGGAGGCAAGCTGTGGTTTGGGAAACTTTCCTTGCTCATTCCCTTTCTTCTCTTATTGCTCATATTATCAGATTAAATAGTTTTAAGTAACACAGTCCAAAGGCCAAGACGTCTTCAGGTCAGGTTTTTATCCAATAGACTGACAGTGGGTGTCCCACTATGTTCTTGGGGGAAAAAAGTGCTGGTGTCACAAATCGCTCTGTAAGTCCTGTTTTGCCATTGTCAGGACTGTGGGTAGATGGATTTTAAGACAGAGTAAGATACCTGAGTAAGAGCCAATGTAGAACTGGAAATACAGGGCAAGGTATAGGTCTAACCACGTGAGATTGCTGCTCACAGGAGAGGTTCACAGTGGACTTGAGGCATAGATAAGCACTGGGAGTCAGAACAAAGAAGAGGGTAGAAATTAGAGAGGCTAGAACCACTTGACTAACAGAGAGTGAGGCAAGGATCAAGACTACACAATTAAAGTACACTGGATGTGGAGACAGTCACAGTTATAACACTTACCAGCTATATGATCTCTGACAGGTCACGTCACCACTGCCTAAATTCCTTTGTAGGTGAAACAGGGAAAATTAAACTTACTTCTCTATTTCAATGTAGTAAGGATCAAAGGGAATAATACATTTGAAAATACCTGGCAAACTCCAAGTCACCGCTCAAATGCAATTACCATTAATAAGTCATACATAAGGACAAGGATCAGAGATGTGCAGCACTAAAAAAAAGGCAAGTTCAGTCATGAGTCCAGGACCTGCACCAGATACATAGAAATGGAAAGATAGATCATGGCAGCAAAGAGAAATCATATGGTAGCAGCAAAAAAAGACGCATGAGACTTCCCTATCACTGCAGAAAGAATCTTCTATAACCTAAGGCAGGTCACCAAGACAAGGTAAGACCTTCTGCTCTTTCTTAACACAGAAAAATTAAATAAATATTGTGCATGTATTGAGTACCTTCTGTGGACCTGCTTGGGTTTACAGGAGGGGAGAGGATTTCCTTTTCTGTTTTTTGCCTCCATAAATGATATCACCACCCATCCAGTGGTCGAAACCTGAAATCAGGGATTCACCCTAGCCTTCTTCTTTTCAGTGTCTCTGACCTTTCCCATTCCTTAGCTTCTATAAAAGTCTCCCAATTGAACTCTTTGCTATCTATTAATCTCTTTCAATCATAAATCAGATTGTGTAACTACTCTATACACAATTATTTAATGGCTCGTGCCTGTGGCCTAAGGTTTATTGTCCTTAACACAATGAAGTCCTCCATAATCTGGTTCCTAATACCACTCCAATGCTATATCTCACTTATTATCCCATTCACTTCCACCCAACTGTCTTCCAGTCACACTAAATCACTTTCTGTGACTCCACTGTTTAATACTTTTTCAAGCCTGTCTTTTCTTCTGTTGCTTTCACTGTTTGGAATGCACCTCTCACTCTTTTCTACCAAGTAAATATGAACTAAGCTCTGAAAACAAGGCTCAGTCATCATCTCCCTTATGAAGCTATTCCTGCCTCCTTCAAGTAGAACTGGCCCTGACTTCTTCCGTTATGTTTTCCTTATACCCTACTTTGATTTCTTTCTTGAAACCTATAATACATTATTGAACTTATATACATTTTGTTTACCTTCCCTATTAGACTGGGTACTCCTGAGCACAGGGGTCATGTCTTATTCATCTTTTTACCTTATTTATCTTTGTAGCTCTAGTGCCCAGCACAGGACCTAAATGAAGTGAATGCACAATAAATATTTGTTGAATAGATAAATGAATAAAACAATCACCAGGGGAAGAATTATAAGACATGAGCTAAGCCCTCACAAAATTTGCTCCATAATTATAGAGGAGAGTACATAGCTAGTATAGGTAAGTGAATGTTAAATTGTGTGACACAGACAGTAGATGGTATAGAAGAAGGAAAAAAATCCAGGTTTCCTAATCAGAGAAAAAAACCATAGAGGAGATAAACTGGGCCTCAAAAAACTCATGAACTTGAAGAGGTAGAAGTACATGTCTGTGTCTGAGGATTTCGGCAGCAGTAGAGGGTAGGAGTGTTGTGTGGAGATTTTAAGTAGAATGAAACATCAGGGACAAGCTGAGCTTCTTCTTCAGACTTAGGGCCATAATGTTAGCCTCTTCTCAGCACCAAATAGGCTCATTTCCACTTAATAACGTGACTTGTTCTTTACTTTCTGAAAATGGAGAAATTAAATTATCTGGTTTGTAAAGGCCATTTCAGAAGCACTTGGCACACAGATTGACTTCAGAGCCACCATCCTGGCAGAAGATAAATCAAATACAGAATGGCTCTGACAAATCTCAAAACATGAGACGAAAACTGAGAGGGACAGAACTTGGATTCCAGCCATAAGCACTGAGTCAAGATCTCTGAGAGGTGACTGCAAGCAGGATTCTAAATCAAAAAGGAAGCAGTACTTTTTATAGAGAATATGATCTTTAGAAACAAATTCTCCCTAAAACAAACAGTAGGAACACAATGCATTATAAAAAGCATTTCAATATACAAATGAGAGAAGCAGCTGGTAGATATGCAGGGGCTGACACAGTTGTTTCTCAAAGTTCAAAACTGGGAAGAGTTTGAAAACTAAGTCATTTCCATTCCCAAGATCAGGGGATCCACATGATACTAATATAGATGGCTGGGACTGTTTTTGGCCCACTTTCTGTGATACCAGTAGACAGTTCTTATTGGCAATTTTTACTGACAGTCATTTGTGGCGATATCATGTAATCTATCAGTCAAGTTAAACTCATTTTTGGAAACTTTGTTTCCATCTTGATACTTTATTAGAAAGTAAAACACAAAACATTCTTAGTGCATGACATTGACACTGGAGAAAACAGCCTGGCCTTCCCACACTTTAACATGGTGCTTTTGTCTGAGAAAGAATTAAGGCTTGACTTGGGATGTGTATAACTGTGGAGATTCTTCCTAGGACTTCTGGAGAATAAATATATGGCAGGTGATAATGGTAGGTGACAGAGGAAGAGAAGGAGGGGATGATGGGAGAGGAAGATCCATTCTGTATGGAAATTAAATTAGGATAGGTCAATTGCCACATGGGTTGTATCTTGGCCAGGTTGTGAACCTGAACTTAACTTACTACATATAGATGTGTATCTAAATATCCATATCTTCCCCAGTGCAGGGTAGTAAGACTCATGGAGCAAGTAGCTCCTAACACAGCACACACACCCAGCACAAACAGTGAGACCTAGGCTGGAATCTCCCCATAATATTTCAAAAGAAAATATGTAACTATTATACAAAGCACAAAAATGCATGCAGGTCCTCTCTTCCAGAAATTCATTGGCCCACATTCTACCATCCCAACATTAACAGACAAAGATGTGAAACAGGTCTCTACCTTCTTCTATTATGTTCTCTCTTGCTTTTACACAAAGTAATATCCACTCTGAGTGGAAGATAGGTGCCTTTGCATCTAGACTAATGCAGCAAATCAACTGCACGGCTGTCACTCTATGGGAGTCACATTATCTC